CGACCAGCACCTCTTCATCTTCCACCAGTGCTTTCCTTCTCCTGCTGAGGCAGGGAGGGACCAGGGCATCAGGAACATGGACTCACACTGGGCTCAGCAGGGTGACAAGCTGGAAATTGCGAGGAGACAGTGGAAGGAGGAAGTTTTGTCACAGTGCCTGAAGGAAGGTAGGCAGGGAAGGGTCTTAACAAACAGCCACAGCAGGTATCTGAGGAATATAAAGTGGAGAGATGCAAATGGACTTCTGGCATTTGTAGATCTGGGAGTTCTGTAAATGTCACTTACTTGTCCTGCCCAGTATCTTTGCAGAAAGAAGCCACAGAGCGCCCCTATAGGTTCACCTGGAAGATGTGAAATACCTGAGCTTTATCAGGTTATTCTCATCTAAAAGATTTTCAGATATTAAAGGTTCAATTGTAATTTTGCATTTGGACATGCCAATATATGATGTGTGATTCAAGATTACCATGCTTTTCATGCCAAGTTAAAAATGTTTCACATTTTATTTTATAGCAGAAAAATGCTGAGAATATTCAAAATTACTAAGTTAAGATTTTTAGACAAACTTTTGTATTTGGTGTCTTCAAACTTTTTAATATTGCTGTAGCAAGAAACAGTTGCTTTAATACAGCATCCTTTGGGGATGAAGAAGCACACTCTTCTGCTGTCAGTTGACACCAGAGTCATATAAACAGGGTTTTGTCTGAGATGGGGATTGAGCAGACAAAAGGTGCTAATGTATTTGACTAGCAACGTTTAAGTCTTTATGGTTGATAGGAGGCTCCTTTAGTCTTTGTAATGAGGTCACATGTCATATGGTGATGTAATTTTAAAAGGACTGAAAGTCTACAGAGGAAATACATTAGTTTGCCTTAGTAAGTTTGTCATTGTTTGGTCATTCACTTACATAAACATATGCTAGCTAAGATAATTGATTGTATTTAAATACACAAGCCAAGATACTGCAATTTCAAATTACTGTATGTCCTGAAATAAATTTAATCTCATGCCAGTGATACCAACATTGTTTGTAGCTCATGTAGAAGAGAACTACAATGTAACTAATGTGTTGAACTTTCATATATTAAGGGTATAACTATGCAGTTTATTCTAAAGCTGTGTGAGAATCACCTTTTTATTCTTCACCATATTTTGTTAGTCAAAGGTTTTGCAACAAAGGGAAAAATAGACAATTATTTAAGTATTTTCTGTGAAAAACTACAAAAGCAATTGCATAAAATTTTTGGTAATAAGAAAACTTTCAAGATATTTCCCTGCTTTGGAATATCACTTCTTACAGGAGTGCTGATCACTGTTTTGGTGTCAGACACAAGCTCCTAAAACTGCTTGAGGCATAAGATTAAATGGTTGAGCCTAGGAAAACAGAAAAATATCCTATCCATTTGCAAAACCTTTTACAAAAAAGACCTGCAATTCCAGAGTAGTCATTGGCAAAAGGGAGGTGGGAGCCTTGTGCATGCTGCTGTCTGTTTTGGTACCAGGGTCTGCACCTTGCACTGACAGAGTGACTGAGCAGAGGCAGCTGGACCACCACATATGATCTTCGGGCTGATGAAATGAAATTACTCCACACCACAGTGAAAGATATTATGCTAACAAAACCATAGTTCTGTCAATATGAACTGCATCTACATTAGAGGCCTCTGCTGGCACATGTCTGCTGGGTAAAAATTACACCTCTAACCCAATTAACCTTTCAGGGAGAAGTCTTGAAGCACAGAGACTGCCAAGATAACTCACTGCTCTGTGCCTTTCATGCACTGAAAGAAATAACCTCCAGGTTACCCACTCCAGGGATTGTCATTTTCAAAGATGCCGGTCACGCAGGATCTTCGGTCATATATTTGTCATTCTAATTTTAAGATACTCAGCCACTGTCTTGTCTCACAGCTTTAAGAAAAGGCAGCCTCAGATGTCCCAGTATGTTTTATTGTGTATACTATGGTCAAAATTTGTCCTTATTTATTTTCAGAAATATTTCAAGTGATTGTGGTATTTTGGTAGGAATATTTCAAGTTATGATGGTATTTGGAAAACTAGATTCCTGGACAATGTGGCTGTCAATTCTTTCCTTTTGGCCAGCCCTTTCTTATTTATTAACACTAAGTTCTCACTAGGCTGTATATTTTTTGACTCTTGCTTTCTTAAATAGAAATGGCTAGCTGAAATGTCAGGCATTATTCAGAATGGGGAAATATCACACAGCTCAGTAGGAGTGGTTTTTTGTTTCTCTTGTTTATTTTTTATTCCTGCATCCAAACATGCCTCCAGTAGCTAATTCCTTCACCTCATGAGGTAGTTTCAGCTGACCAGCACTAATGAATATTTGTGCAAGTCTTGACTGGCTGATAGAGTGGAAAAATGAAGGTTTTTTTGAAGACCCACAGGTATCATGGTAGCCACTAACTGCAAGCTATCTTCCCTAAACCTCTGACTTGCAAAATGTTCTTCCTCTGGAAATAATAAATTCAAATTTTTACTCCAGAAGGGGCTCCTTTTCTTCATAGGTGTTTAAGGCAATCATCTGAAATCTATTTTTCCCCACTTTCCCCCTTTCTTGGGAGCTGAAGTACATATAGCGTTAGACTGCAATAACAGAGCAAAGATGGGGTTTCCCTGTGCTCTGCAGGCAGCCATTTTTCAGAGCTGGAATAGTTTAGAAGCCTCATTCTCCATCAGCAGAAACTTGTGGAATATATTCTGTAGGGATGAAAACCCATCCTTTGGGTAGTAGTTCCTGAACCAGCTGCAGCATGTGATGTTGCTGGAGCAGAGAGAGGGCTTGTGGTGGGAAATAGCTCACATGGGAGTGGGACAGAGCAGAGCAGCATGTGAGGCGTGAAGGTGGGGACAGATAGGGCAGAGTGAAGTGGTGGCAAGGGCTGCTAAGCTCTGCCCACCCAGTCAGGCCAAAGTCTGCATGTGCCTGTGAGTGGCAGCTGTTGGCATAGCCCCCTCCACAGCTGGGCTTCACGTGGATCCAGTCCCCAGGCTTGCCAGGGTGTCCTGCAGGCCAAACTGACTTCTCAGAATCGGCAGGTTTGACAAGTGCTTCTGTTCATGAATAAGGGACACAGGCAGAATGATCTGTGTCAGAACTGTCTGTTGTATTTTTTGAGTCTTTTAGTTGCAATGTAAAAATTGTGATTTCTGGGCTGGGGTGGTTAGGAAGTTTTCAACCCTTCCTCATCCATTTTATACACTTTTAATCCCTTCTGCCAGCCGTCACTGCTCACATTACAAGTCCTCAGAGGCCGGGGCTGCCTCTTACCCGTGTTTGTGTACAGCGCTCATTGCAACTGAGCTCTGTTGAGGCCTTTGGATCCTGCTGTTACGCCTATAATAATTCATAACGCCCAGGGCTACGCACAGCAAACGCTCCGCTCCTTCATCCCCCGTGTCCCCGCTGACGCCCGTATCTCAGCACACCCGCGGGAAACTTTTGGTTACAAAGGCACACCCAGCCGGCCCTGGGCGGCGGGGGCAGCGGCGCCCGGAGAGCACGGCCCCTTTAAATTCCAGCTGTGCGGCGGGGGCAGCACCGCTGGCGGCGCGGCGCGGGGCTGGGGCCGGGGCCGCTGCCGGTGCGCGGCGGCGGAGAGCAGCCGGCGGCGGGGAGCGCGCAGCCCTGCGCCCGGGGAGGCAGCGGCTCGGCGCCGCGGTGCCTCGCGGAGGCGGAGAGGATGAGGATGGCTTCTGGCTTTTTTTTTGCCTCCTCGCGATGATTTCCATAGTAACCTGATCGAGCGGTGCAATTTCGGAAACTGGGGTGGCTTTATTATTATTTTTTCCCTCCCCATTTTTTTCCCCCGTTTAATCTCACCTCTCCCCGAGGAGTGCCAGCCGACAGGTAAGGTGCCCCGACCCCGCGGGGGTGTTTCCGCGCCGCCGAACTTCCCAGGGCGACAGCGGCCAGGCGCGGGGTCCTGCCCGCGGGGCTCCGCTGTACGCGGCCGTGGGCAGCAGTCCGGGGCCGGGGCCGCAGCCCGCCCCGCTGCTGGGGGGGGCTCACGTCGGGGCGGGGTGCCGCGGTACCGGGGAACCCGGCGGGGGTTACCCCCCGAGGAGACCGCCGAGCTCTTTTTACCCTCTTTGTTTGCTTGCTCCCAGAGAGGGTTTTATTCTTCCCTTTGTTTCTCCCTCCTTTTCTTCTTACCCCCCCCCTCCGCCCATCGCTCCCCTGCCTTGGTTTGCTTCCTTGATCATTTTTTCTCCCCCCTCCCTTTTGTGAGGGTGAGAAATCGCACGCACTTAGCCTTAAAATCTGCGGCGAGCGAGGACACAGCCAGCCGGCTGCCCGTTCCCGGTACCTGCCGCATCCCCGCTCGTCCCCTGCCCCTGGCCGTGCCCCCGCCCGGAGCGCCCCGCAGCCTCCTGTAGCTGGGGCGGGCAGGGGACCGCCCTCGCCCGTCGGAGAGGAGAGGGGCAGAGCAGCCCAAGGCAACCCCCAAGCCCGGTGTCACGGTCTGGGTCCCCCGAGGGGGGAGAAAGCACATCGTGGAAACCTGTGAGCAGGTTAGTCTAGAAGCTTCTCCCTCCATGACCTGCTCCTTGCCCACCTGCCTGTGCCCGTCCAGAGAACTTGGGGATGGGGGACACATCTTGCCACTGCCTCGGCATTGGGTTGGCAAGGATACCGGTGGCCCCGTGGGTCCTGAGCCACCCAGCCCTGCTCCGCAGCCTTCTCACGCAGCCATACGTTTTCTCTCCTTCCCGGGTGGGCAGCACGGGGAAGTCCCCACCAGGTTTGGGTTAGGTGGTGAGGACTTAATCCAATTGTGATCATATTTGGTTGGTAGTGCCAGTGCTTTTGCTGGGTAGTAAGAGCTCCTTGTTCACCAAGCAGGTCTCCAGTAAAACTTACTGTTGTTTGCCATCTTCCCTAGCTCTCTGGGTTTCATCCTGAAATGGTGTTTTGGACTGTGACTGTATATATTTTGGGGGGGGGAGGGTGTGAGTTGGGGTGGGGAGGAAGAGGGGAGTGTTTTGTCAATTTTTACATCACTGAGCACAATGAATAGATTAGTCTGCTCAAGGCTTTTTGTTTGTCATAAGTGATCAATAATCATCTGCTGGTAAGATGATCTTATTGCAGAAAAAGCCAAAGTGCACGCTGAGAACAGCTGAAATACAAGGTCAGTAACTCTTGGGTTATCAACAGTAAACCTGCTTTGCATATTTGAAGATGACGTATTTCTTTCAAAGTAAAGGCAACTTCAAGCCTTTGATGAGCTTTATTTTCTGTGCAAAACAGTCAACATAGAAAATAAGCCTTGCTTCGGAGTAGTCTACTCATCCTTAAATGTCCCTGAACCTCATTTAATCTTTCCCTGTAGTGAAGGTGGACGGGAATTGCAGTCCTCTTAGGTAAGAAGAGTTTCTGTAGCCCCCGATACAAAGGTTGGTTTGTTCCTAGTGCCCAGCAACTGCTACAGGCTTTCCAGACACAAAAGAAAGGCGTAGTCTGTGGCCTGAAGATCGTGCATGCTAAAAAGGCAGTCAGCTGGAGGGGATCACAGATCAACAACCAGCTCCGCCACCGCCGCCTGGTAACTGGCTTCATTCCGGGAATGTGACAGTTCAGTGGGACAAGTAATTGGTGCCGAGGTGCTGATGCCTCAGAGAGGACTGCCGTAACCTGCGGGTCAAGCCTGGGGTATGAGGAGCCAGCTCTGCGAGAGAGGGAGCCTGGACAGGAGGAGACACTGGGGGCAGGTGAGGCAAGCTTTCCAGAGAAGGCATTGGATTACAGCACCGAGGCAGGGGAATGAGATATGAAAAGGGAGCAGGCCACATAATCGGCAGGGGAAGAGGTTATGCGGGGACTCGGAGCCTAACATAAAAAGCTTGAAGTAATGAGTTTAATCTACGAAATCTAGTTCTTAAATTGTATGTGCTTGCCAATTAGCTAACCATTCTGCAACTCAGAATGGAATTCAGATTGTATCTTGGTAAATGTATTGACTCTCAAGTGCTGCAAGGAGAAAAAAATAATTGTCTCCTCTTTCCCCTGCTGTGGGCTTTAAATATGAAAAAAAAATCAGATCTGAGAATTGAGGAACCTTTTAATATACTTACTTTCCTGAGTTCACATGCTATCTAGCCTAGACTACCACAGTTAAAATCAAACTCCTATGGTAATATGACTTCAGGGGGCCAAATTCATAACAGTTGAAGAAGGGCTTTTTACCAGTGAATATTGCCATGCATTGTGAGGAGGGGTCACCATCAGTCACAGAATGGATTAAAGTGCAGGAGCTGTGAGGCTGTTACCTTGCAGGGAGAAAAGCACTTACAGTATAGTGAGGGAACCCATGGCCCTCTTGGGGTCCTCTAATGAACACTTAAACATTGCATGTGTATAAAAAAGAGTTGCAGCATAACCTTTATTCTCCTGTATTAAAGAATGTGTTCATGTATGTATTAGTTTATGTGTGTCATAACAGCTTTCAAAATGGCTGAATAATATTGATTCAACTAAAAATACTATGAGAGAATAGCTGAAATTAGTTTGAATTTCAGTTTGAGAGAATTATAAAAATAATGTCAGTTTTGCATCACTGGACAGCTAGCTGTAGTAATTCATAGGAACTAACAGAAGCCTTCATAATGCTATTGTTTTATCCAGATTTTACTGATACAGATTTAGGAAAAGTAGGCATGAGTCAATGCCAGAAATTGCCACCAAGATTAGCACCCTGGGCAAGAATATTTACAGCTGTGTTTCAGAGTCTGGGAATGTTTGCTTTAGATGGCTGGCAGTACTGTGCTTTATACTGCAGAGGATCAAAAATTCATTATATTTGATTGGTAACACAGGGATGTAATAATACAGAGTTTCTCATTTTCTTGGAGAAGTGTTATCTAATGTGTGCTTAATTTTGCAGTTATACTCCACATTGAGATGGATCAGAGGTGTATGGCCGGGGGAGATGTGTAGCTGGGTTTTTTAGCAGGGAATCTGACTTGCACTGATGCGTATGCATTTTCTTGTAGTAACCTCCTTGTGGTATTGCCTGCACGTGCTGATTAAATAATCTGCCTGAGAGCTATTAGAATTTGTATGTAAGGAACTGGTTTGTTTATATGTAGATCAGTTATTACTGCAAAGATAATTGCATGCATGGAAAATTGTTATCACAGATGGATGCTGGCTTCTGAAAACTGGGCCTCTTTAAGATAAACTTCATGTATCATGTCAGAGAAATAAGCAAGATGGGGGCAAAACCACTACTGAGTTTTTTATTATGTTCTGCTTATGCCAATCAGTATAATATCCATTGCAAGAACTCAATACTATGCTTGCAATGAAAAGACTTGGGATTTTGTCAATGTCAAATCAGACCCTCACCCACATTCTCACTGTTTGCCTGACAACCGTTATAAGAAATACTGTGGTAAAATTTCCTTGCAGAAACATTTTGTAAAATATGTAATTTGTATTGGTAAATGCTGTATGTTTTGCTTGTACTCTAGTGCTTCTTTTCACCTCTTGAAAATGACTGCATAGAAATAGCACTTTGTTGATTTTTCCACTTCTCTATCTATATTTAGAATTGTATCTATTTAATTGAGTGACAAATGTTCATCTGTTAACCCCAAAAAAGACAGATAGGATAATAGGAGCATGAGATGTCCTCTCAACTGGATGTTAGCAGACCAGGATTCAGCTTTGAGTCCCATCTCTTAGCATTCCCAAAGCTCACCAGTCCTTGTTCCTGCTTTCAGTCCTCTGGATTTGGGCTACCTTGAGGCATCACAGAAATCCTATGCAGGACAGAAGCATTCAGCATAAAGTTGGTCCTTCTTCTGACAGAGCTTCCTGGTCCTCACTAGCTTAGTGGAGCACTGGTTCACATGGTTGTCTGCATGCAAATCAGGTGTCCTCTGGGGACAGTGTTGGATGGTGCAAGCACTAATGCTCCCTTCTGTGTAACTCTTAGCAGGAGACTGTATGCAAAAAAGGCTTTTTCCAGGGATTTGTCTGAAATGGATCCAGTGGATCTTGAGATCTGCTGAGCTTTGACTGTTAATTTTTGTGGATGGAGATGGTCAGGTCTCTCAGGAACAGGCTGGTAAATGTCACTTACTGCAATGACTGGTTAACAGTGTTTAAGTGGTGTCTACAGAACAAGTCAGACTCCACAGAGCAAATGTGTTCCACATCCAGACGTGCATGTCAGGAGATTTATTTCAAATGAGACAGCAGTGTCCTTCTAGACTAATTCCAACAGACAGAAAGGAAATGTGAGCAAGAAAAATAAGGTCACGCCATTATGTCTACTGATGACTTTCGATCTCTGGTGACTTTCCATCTCTGAATTTAATTTAAACAATAATAATTGTATTCTGTTATATCACAATACAGTCACGACTGTTCTGTTTACTTGTACTGCAGCAGTGGGTGCTAAGCTCTAATTTGAAGCAGAGGTCGTCCCAGTTGGTGCTTGGAGCCCACTGATGACACCTTTTAGATGGAAACACTGCAAATAATTTAGAAGTAACTGAAAGGTGATGAAATTATAGTGCTAATAAAGCAATTTAGTATTTATACTGAACAAGAAGAATATTTACATAAAGATAAAAAAAGCCTAAGCACTATTAAAAATTGTAAGAGAGAATGCTTGACTGAGAGCTGACAGAAATAGTAGCAATTGTTGTTTCCCCAGATTTTAATCAATCTTCTGTCAGTGTCAAATTGAAAACATGATTTCTTTTGTTATTTGGAATCATGCTCATAAAGAAATAAAATGTGGTCCTGGAGTCCTTTTAAGTGGGATGTCCTGCAGTGTACTAAATAATTTGATTTGGAGGGAAAATATATCAAATATGTTTACATGTCATAAAAACAACATGAGATTTTTTTCATATTAGATTTAGTGCATATAAATAGATATCTTCTACATATCATCTTAGTGGAAAATGTGCTGCTTCTTTCTGTGTTATTGACATTTTCATTAAGAAGATGATAAATGCTTCTTGAAACAAAATATTTGGCTGGCGACTAGCAGAACCACTGTTTTAGGTTTGGGAAGAAATATCATCCATAAGGAAGATGCTACAATCTGTTAATGAAGAATTAATTAAGTTTACAGTTACAAATATGAAATTATGGTGCAATTACCTTTTTCAGGAGTCATTATTGTATTAAGGGTTCTGTTTTGTTTATATTTGTTCTTTTTTCACAGTGATGTCAATTAACTCTTACAGTGAAATGTTACTTTTCCTCAAATGTGCATAACATCTAACTTTTTCTGGCCGATTTGTTCACTTCCATCTTGTTTTTAAATACATGTCCATGTCTTTCTTTGTTTTATAAAATGTCAAGTTAATTGGAAGACCAGTCCTAGGTAACATGGCAACTTGCAAGAGCATGTCAAAACCAAACTTGTTTATTTGTTCATTATGAACAATTTTGTTTACTGAAGATGAATGGGTTTTATGGTAAAAACTCCAGCTGAACTATAAAACTTTCATCTTTGGACTATGTCCTAATGTGTTGTTATTAAGCTTTAAAAATCAATAAAGCAGGGGAAGTACAGTAAATTGGCAAAAGTTAAAATAACATTGAGAAATGGGCAGTTAAAAATTGTTGATGGAGCAGCTGATGAATTTGCAGAAGAGCCTAAGATGATAAGGGTTGTTACAATCTATTTAAAGGCATTGCGAATTCATGCAGTATTGCTCTTCTGGCAGTAGCAAATCCACATATCCTTACAGAAAGTCTTGACTCACAACAAAGCTGATTAGTCATCCAAGACACCAAAATAGTTAAAGCAAGAGTCAATAGATCTTGGAATATATACTGAAGAATTGATGCAGCTATTTGAAGGCATTTCAGCATGCATAAGGCACTGAGTTACCCTATAAACTATTAGGCAGTATGAGACTCCAGTAAAATCACAATTATTTAATTGTGAAGCTTTAGCTGTTATATATTTTGGGGCATGACTTCTTTAAGATACATATATGAAGAAACTGAGAAATATAATTCTGAATAATATAAGAAAGAGGTAACTACGTGTAGGAATTGACTCGGTAAAAGTGAAAGCAAGTGAAATATGCCATGTCTGCACTGATGTACACACCAGTTTTAGGGGAAAAACCTATAAGTGATTTAGTCTGAAGCAGTAATAATGAATTAGGCTTTAGAGAGTCTGGGAGGAATTTGTTTCTATTCTGTGGCTAGAAAATACTGTTTATGTAACCTGTTGTCCTTTTGAGTGTCAAAGCAGTCCAGTGGTTCTGTGTCACCTTGATGCAGAGGTAATCATAGCAAACCTTTAGAGACTGTCACAACATTGTCATTATTTTGGCAGAGCATTGGTGATAATTTCAACTAAGAGGCAAAGAAACTCTGCATTGATAAGTAGGTTTCAGTCTGGACATCTGGGTAGAAATAAACAGTCCCAAGTGGTCCAATACCAGTTTAAAACCACCCTGCTGAGATTTTTATTGTTAGCAGAACACAGTGCCCAGATCATGAATTACTTCTAAATAAAAGCAATGCCAATTTAGGCTTTTTCTTCCTGCCTCTATCCAACACTAACACTCCTACAATCTGTGATAAGGCACATGTAGGAAAGGGTGGTGATTTGAGACAGCCAGCATGGATTCACCAAGGGCAAGTCCTGCCTGACCAACTGAGGGGCCTTCTGTGGTGGAGTGACTGCATCTGTGGACAGGAGAAGGGCTACAGATAGTGTTTATATGGA